GGAATGGAATATGGAATTACCTTTAACTTCAAACTTTCCAAAAACCTTCTCCAACTCCACCGCAATCTTCAATAACTCGTATGTGGAGTTCCATCGGGTTGGGGAATCATTGTACAAAAACTTCTTGGATTTCACATTTAACTCTTTCATGCATTCTTTGAACCTTTGAATCCGTTGAGTGGAATTCCTAATATATCTAACGGCCTTTTGCATGCACTTAATACTAGATTGGTGTTCATCAAACCCATCCTTAACAATAAGGTTTAGGATGTGGGCCATACACCTTACGTGTAATTGTTTCCCCCATCGTATAAGTTTGGTAGTTTTTTCATTAGAAATTCAATTGCTTTATCATTGGAAGTTGCATTGTCTATGGTTATGGTCATTACATTATTGATACCCCACTCTTCAAGACAAGTCAACAACGTGCGCCCAATGTCTTCTCCCCTATGACTATCTAAAGATTTAAAGTTGATAACTCTTTTGTGCATGACCCAATCTTTATCAATAAAGTGGTTCGTGACCACCATATAGCTCGATCGTTGACATGAACTTGTCCAACAACCGGTGGTCAAATGCATATTCGTTAAGGGGATTACTAAAGAACTTATTCAACTTTGCCTTTTCTTCAACATAGTAATCAGCAACTCTTTTTGAAACTGTGGTTCTACATGGCAAAACCACTTTCCCGTTCAATGCATTAGTATACTCAATAAATGCTTCATTATCTACAAACTTGAACGGTAATTCTCCAACTACAAATAAGTTTAACAAAGCTTTTTTTTATTCTTTTCTCATCATGCTTCCAAGTGCCAATACTATTCTCCCCGGTTTCATTTTTTTTTTTGAAATTTAAAGTGGTTTGCTTTTTTAAATTTTCTTCTAAATTTTTTGGGTTCTGTTTACATCTTTTTGTATGTCTAATCATACTAGATGTACCGTTTTCACCGGACTCAGTTTTGAGCAACGTGTCACACCATTTGCATTTGTTATGTTGAACGGTATTAACCTCAAGTTCATCATAATCGGCCCAACAAGCCGCTCTTTTGGCATATTTTTTCTTCCTCTTTGTTGTTTGACCTTTTCCGTCCTTGTTGTCAATTTGAGTGTTATCAACCAAAACATCTTCATCATCAACCTAAAACACAATAACAAAATGATTTTAATATCATAAAAGAGCAAAATATGTTCTTTAACATTGAAATACAATCATTAATCTAAATTACAATAAGAAAATGATTTACAATCACATAATACATTGAAATAGATTAACAATTTTAACATAGCATATTGTATTTAATATGATATAATAGCAATGATAACACTTTGAAAGATTAACAACATAACAATTAAAAGAATAACAGTAGATTAAGATAATAATGCTTACTTGAGTTTGTTGACTTGGAACTCAATTGTCCATGATTTAGAATGATTCCTTGGAGATGAAGATTGGAATTCAATTTCTTGATAGTAGAGTGTAGGTCGATTTCTTGAATGCTTGACTTGATTTTTTGTTTTTGGTAATCGATGACAGTAAGTGATCGAAGGTGTAGAGGAGTGGGAAACTGGTAATTCGATTTCTTGAATTGTTTAATCGACAAGAGTGGGAAACTGGGAATGATAATCGACACGTAAGGGAATGATGATCGAATAGGGCTAACGATGATAGTGGGTTTTTTTTAAACTTCGATGATAGCCGATAGCGGGATATAGGCAATACGCACGAAGACATTACTTGGCTACGCAATACGCACGACCAAAGTGACCAATCATTTTCCGGATCGGTCTTTTTGGCCCAATTAACTCTTTATTCGTGTAACCCGGACCGAATAACCCGAAACCCGAATTGGACAAAAATAAATACCCAAGAACCGACCCAAATAACTTATCCGGTCCTAATTCGGGTCGGTCCGGGTTTCAGTTTCGGTTCGGGTATTCGGTCCAAACGCACATCCCTAGCGGGAAGTTTCGAACTGGGCAAGACCGCTTGGTTGTGAGCCCTCATCTCTACCTTTTACGTACCTAGGAGTACCATTGGGGGCTAATATGAAGCTTATAAAACATTGGAGGCCGGTCATTGAAAGATTTCAAGCTAAACTATCAGCATGGAAGTCAAAATCACTCTCCTTTGGGGGCAGACTTACGCTCATTAAATCTGTTCTTGGGAATCTACAAACATATTTCATGTCATTATTTATCGCACCAGAGGGAGTTATAAATACTCTAGAAAAATTGAGACGTAGGTTCCTATGGGGTGGCTCGAAAGTCAAATCAAAGATCCATTGGGTATCGTGGGACAAAGTGATTGCAGAAAAGGAATTAGGAGGTTTGGGGGTGAGTTCTATTAAATCCCTTAATATTTCCTTGATAGTAAAGTGGTGGTGGAGGCTTAGAACAAATCAGGGATCAATATGGGCGAAAACAAACATGGGCATACACAATCTATGGAATAAACCGGATGATTGCTATTCCAAGAAGTCAATGACAGATGTATGGAATAACATAGCGCCAGCTGAAAATGAGTTAAAGAAAAAAGGGATTCAAACGTCCAGTGTGATAAAAAAAAACAACAGATTCCTAATGGAGAGAAGTGAGTGTGTGGTATAACTTCGGATGGCGGATACAAGGTGAAGGCACTCAGAACTATGCTGACAGAACATAACAGGGTGGATAATGGTAAATTCCTTTGGAACAAGCAAGTGCCAATTAAAGTAAATTGCTTTAATTGGAGGGCAAAATTGGGAAGAATTCCATCAGCTGTGGAACTTTCCAATTGTGGAATACCTGTGGTTTCCACATATTGCTGTCAATGTGAATCATATGTAGAAACAAGTGACCACGTGCTTGTACAATGCCAGTTTGCAAAAACAGTTACACAATGGATATTTAAGTGGTGAAACACTCAAATGGCAAGCTTTCAAACAGTGTAGGAGGTATTGGAGTATGCTTCAAACTGGGACAATTGTCCGACAAAGAGGATGAGGCTATTGGGTATTTGTTACGGTGTCTTTTGAAGCATATGGAAAGCAAGGAATGACTGATTATTCAACAACAACAAAGTACCGGCAACAAAGGTGGTAGATATCATAAAAGCAATCACGTTCTTATGGTTTAAACATAGGAAAGGTAATGGAAGTTTAAAATTGACAGATTGGAGCATAAGTCCTTTTATAAGTTTGTAATTGTTTCCTAATTATCTATTTGTATTCCTTCGCTGACTAGCATCTTGCTGGTCACTTTATTAATATATTCATTTGCTAGTTCAAAAAAATAATAATAATAAAACAGACTATTAATTTTTCAGATTAAGTGCGTTCAATATTTTTTTCTTTAATTTTTACCTATTAATTATTCAACAATCTCTTATTTTTTAATAGAAAGAGTTGTATTTGAATAAATAAATAGGAGCATGCTTTAAGAATACCATCATTTTTCGGTAAATATTTCTCTCTCTCTCTCTCTCTTTTTTTCCTTCACAAGACTGTCTCCCTCCCCGCCTACTACTGCCATCTCCAATCTCTTAAAATTTAAGAATCTCTTAAAAATCAAGATCTCTTTAAAATTCTAAACATGTCAAATAGCCCCTAATTTAATACAAAAAATAGCATAATTGACATAAATCATTTCATCATTATTTTTGTTTACTTAAAAAATATTGAATCATCTATAAAATATAACAGATAAAAATCAATAAAATACAACAATTATCTTTACATATTTTTTAATATGCTTTTCTTTAGCTAATATATTTTGTAAATAGTTCAATATTATTGTAATCGGCAGGTTGTTAACAATAAGATTTTTTTAAATAAGTTAATATTGTTGTATTAAACCAAAATTATGATAAGACCTCTTAACAACTCCTTGTTTTTATTAAGTGATCTTTGAACACTTTGTGAAAGTTAATGACTTGGTATGTATGAAAAAAAAATGACTTTAGTAGACCAAATCAAAAATCATATTGTTATTTTCTGACATTATTTGTAAAAAAAATATAATTAATTAAAAATCTTATCTAAAATGGGAAGTTCTTATTTTCTGGATGCAAGAAAAATGTAAATGTTTTTCTTGCTAATAATATTTCAATTCAATTTTATTTTTTTATAGTTTGTTAAATGGGTGGTAGTTTATTGACTAAAGTGGCATATGTATTTTTTACCATTTCAAAAACAAATTATTGTCCGAATGAATATCCCATCCACTTGTGGAAACAATCCAATGCAATGCATTACAGAAGGATTGTTGACTAAGAGTTAAGAACTCAATTGAGGAATCACTCTGTGTCTCTGAGGGGGATAGCAATAGCATTAGCATCATCAAAAATGGAAACGTGGTTCTCCATTACTAACCCTGTAAGAAATCGCACACAAACTGTTCGACGAAATGTTTCACAGATAAGCTTCAGCCACTTAAAGCATTTATCTCAATTGGTGCTTCCTGAGAGAGATGCGTCTTGCCTCTTCTTCAACAGGCAACATAAAGTGTATCTACTGTGCAAGAATGAATCAATGCATGATTGGTGGAAATCACCTACCATCCATCCACCAACTATATGTATTTTTAATTTTTTTTTAAAAGGTTTATTGCTCATAAGTAAAAACATGTTACATGTTTTGTGCGTTTTTTTATTTAACTCTTTTGTGGGAAATCATCCCTTTATTTTACGTTTCATGTTTATTTGTTTGTTCATAAGTTTCACATTTTCTTATTATTTATGTAGATAATTTTTTTTATTATTAACTTTTTAAAAGATTCAACTACATTGATATTGTAGGCAAATGAGACCTAGGTTGTGCAAGCTACTATTTATGGACTGTAAAATTAATTCTTCTAAAAACTATGTTCATAGATTTTTGAGTCACGATATTGTTATTGCATGATCCATTGAACCTTTTATATATATATATATATATATATATATATATATATATATATATATATATATATATATATATATAGAAGAGAGAGAGAGAGAGAGAGAGAGAGAGCTAGGTTCATTTGTTTAAACTAAGTATTGTGTTATTGTATGCATAAATGTGAGGCAATCAAAATTAAATAAATAATTAAATAATTAAATAAATAAATAAGGGTAATTTAGTAATTTGTTTAGTAACTTCCAAAATTAATCCCTATAATCATGGTAGACTTTTAACCTAATCTCTCCTGTTTAAATCTCGTTCCCCTCTTTTATCTAAAACGCCGATCTAATCTCTCCTGTTTAAATCTCGTTGCACTCTTTTATCTAAAACGCCGATCTGCAAAGGAAAAGGGATGCGAGTAGCAGCAGGTGGGGTGAGATCAGAAGAGAGAGCGATGGGTGAGACCAGAAGAGGGTCCGACGATAGGTGGGGCTTCGGTGGCGTTGGCTCGACGGAAGAAGAAGAGGTGGGTGTGGGTTCTTTTAGGTCTGCTTCTATCTCTCTTATTCTCCCGCGTTTTAGTATTTTGTGAAGAAGCGTGATTGAATCGTTTCGTTGCAGATCAATGCTTCTGACCTCCAATCTCCACCGCCGCCAGCATTCCGATCAGGTAATGAATTTCCTTTCAAAAATGCCGATTTCCAATTAAGATACGATCGCCGAAAGTCCAATTTCCAATCTCATGAACAATTTCGATTTTTGCCTCCGAAAGAATTCAATTTCAGATTCGCTGTTGGTGGGATTGTTCGCATCAAGACAACAGTTTACAAGACCCAAAAATTTGATTTTTAAACCTCCGATTCTGATTTGAACTCCCGATCGAGCCTAGAACATGAACGCTAGTACTTCGATTTCAATTCGTACGACCGATTTCCGATTACGAATTTGGGAAATTTCTAGAACTCCAATCGATTTCAACTTACAGGATTGAAATCCAACTTCAATTTCATGAACAACTTCAATTCTTAATGATATCAGTTTCGCTTGTGTATCTTGAGGCGAGAGACGAACTTTGGCATCTTGATTTGGCAGGTTCGTTTCAAATCTAGTCAATTGATTATGGAGCGAAAGTGAATATCAGGTTCGTTCCTTCGCTGGAAGTAACATTTTTAACAGAGGTAATAATTAATAATTAATTAAATATACAAATGCAAAATAGTTTTTTTTAATAAAAAAAGTTCAATTTATGTTCAGATTGAACTGCTGTCAAGACTTCATCACTGCCATGTGGTGCCATTACTTGGGTACTGTTTAGAATACCAATACCACACAAAACAGCCTGAAATGCTTTTGGTGTTTGAATACATGCCAAATGGCAACCTGAGAGAGTGTCTGGATGGGGTTTCAGAAAAATGTCTAGACTGGGGGGCCCGCATTGCAGTAGCCATTGGAGCTGCTAGAGGGTTGGAATATCTTCGTGAAGCAGCTGCACCAAGAATCTTGCATAGAGATGTTAAATCCACTAACATTCTCTTGGATGAAAACTGGAGAGCAAAGGTGGGAATTAGGAATAATAATTTTTAATATCACATTTGTGAATATTATTAAGTTTTGATTTTGTTGGTAGATTACTGATCTGGGAATGGCTAAGAGTTTGGTGAAATGATTGGTGAAATGATTGGTGAAATGATTAACATATGGTATATATCACTTCAATGAACAGAAAAATCCAGCAGGAGTACAGAAGCTCATACGTGGTCAACAGTTGATCTTGACCACCCTCAGATCATAAACATACATAACTATAGGTATCCTTAACTCATAATTATTCCCCCTTTTTAACTTTCGACTTATGATTTTTAATAATTATTTACTTATTTTCGATCCTTGAATTCTTAAACCAGCATTTTTTCAGCTACATGGAACGTAGGAGGAAAATCCCATTCCAACAAAATGAATCTTTGTGAGATTCCAATTCTTTTGGAATGGAATCACGAATTCCAATTCTGTTGGAATGGAATCATGAATTCTAATTCTGTTGGAATGGACAGTTCTGTTGGAATCACAGAAGTTGATGCTTGAAGAACGGACCACAAAATTGAAACGGACCACATTATTCTTTTAGAATGTATTAGTCGTTGTTAGATTTTGATGTTTTCTTTCCCGTTTTGATTGTTTTTTTAGTTTATTCTTTAATAATAAATGTAATTATTAACAATTTTTACCCGTATTCTATAAAAAATAATGTATTTTTTGTTTTTATTCCTCTATTGATTGTTCAAGAATTTGTTATTCTACAAGAAGTTTTTAAATTCATGATCAAGAAATAGGTTCAAGAATATTTTTATTATTTATGGTTCAAGAATATTTTTATTTTTGAATATACTCATAAACATATTCTGTCAGAATGTCCGAATTAAAAGAATTATAATTCGAAAAATCGGATTTTTAAAATTAATAGAATCTATGATCCCTTAAAAAATGCAATTTTTCTTTATTAAGTCTATATTAATTGACTAAATTACCCTTGTAATTAATTAAGATGATATTTTTCAATTATATTTAATTCAGTAATATATATTAATCACTTTCTTAAAATATGTAAATTTGATTGGCTCACATTTATACATACAATAACACAATAGATACTCTAAACAAAATAACCTAAGCCTATATATATATATATATATATATATATATATATATATATATATATATATATATATATATAGAAAAGTTTAATAGAGAACCATAATTATTGGTTCACCAAGGAACCAAATCTTTTTTTTTAAGTTCTAGAGATTATTCTTTATCGAAAAAAAACTAAAAATATCTAAATTCATAACTTAATATTGTGATTGTTAAATATATTTTTCGGATTCACCGTGTGAATTTAGATTCACATTGTGAATCTTCAAAGATTCACATTGTGAATTTGACGAAAAAAAAAAATTTATCGAATTTGATATTATTGGAAAAAGGATAAAAAGTTATGAATTTCTGTATTTTTAGTTTTTTTTTATAAAAAATAAGTTTTAAAAGTTGAAAAAAAGATTGGTTCCTTGGTTGATTATGGTTCTCTATTGAACCTCACCCTATATATATATATATATATATATATATATATATATATATATATATATATATATATATCATGGTTACAGAAATCGAGATTAATCGGCGATTAATCGTGGATTAATCGTTTGGCGTTCTCCAACCGTCGAGGATTAGGGCATTAATGGTAAATTTAGGATTAATCGGCTTTGGTGGGATTAATCGGCCTTGGCGGGATTAATCGGTCAACAAAAGTCAACAAAAGTTAAAAAAAATCGAAAAAAGTCGAAAAATGTCAAAAAAAAGTCAAAAAAAGTCAAAAAAATAAAAAAAAATTCAAAAAACCAACTTTGTTTTTTTACTCCAAAATTTTTAAATTTTCAAAACTTCAAATATTATACTAAAATGTTCATATTTTTGTATTTTCAAATTTTCAAATTACAAATTTTCTTATTTTCTAATTTTGAAGTACTTCTTTTTCTTAAGATATATTAATATTTAATTAATTTTAATATTTTATTAATAATCTATGGTCGCCGATTAATCCCCGATTAATCTCCGCCAAGACCGATTAATCCCTTAACACTAGTCGACCGTCGAGCGATTTTTACAACCTTTATATATATATATATATATAATATATATATATATATATATATATATATATATATATATATATATATATATATATAGGCTTAGGTTATTTTGTTTAAAGTAATTATTGTGTTATTGTATGCATAAATGTGAGCCAATCAAATATTTAATTTTTAAAGGAAAATGATTAACATTAATTTGATATCCATTAAATGAAAAAGGCTTCACATTTAAAGATAATAGACGAGTAAGGGTATATGTGTACATTTGTCATCTCCATTAAAATAGGAAACTGACTCTATTTATCAAAACTTCCCGCATAATCTCTATAACTTCGCATGAATCCGGATTCCACTACCCTCTGTATCGGAACACAAAATCAAAGTATATCTTCTGTAATCAACCAAAAAAATGGTAGATTCTGTTGTATTTTTAATATAAAGTGATCGATTCTTGAAGATTGTTCACAAAATTTGCATTGTGATCGTTCGAAGTAAAAGAAATTGCAGTATAATGAGGAATACAAGGACAACTTCTTTCAAATCGAAATTTAAGAACACACAAAAAACGGTTTTGAATCTAGATGAAGACGATGATGATTTCGTTGCTCCGCCTATAGGTAATTTTTATTTTTAGTTTTTTTTAATGTAATCGTTTGAATACACAACATTCTTTTGGAATGTTTGAACAATGAAGTATATGCATGTGGTTTTTTAGTTCGTTTAAGTAAAATAGACCGAAATACTGTAAAAAATGGAGTATTTTTTTATTAGGGTTTTTTGAAATTGGGGATTTACAATCCGATTAAAATTTTGGATTTTACAGATATGCTTGTGTTGTTTTTCAAAAAAAGGGTTTGTGATTGTTTATTTTGTTTTGTGTTTTAAAAGCGTAAAAAGATGTTGTTTTTGTTTATATATATATATATATATATATATATATATATATATATATATATATATATATATATATATATATATATATATATATAAATTTTTTTTTTGCAATATGTTGTCGTTTTTGTGGTAAAGTATGTCAGGAGGATCTTCTGTAAGAATTGTATGTTTGTTTGTGAAGTTCATGTGAAATGCATTCTTCCAGAATACGAAATATTTAAAATGCTTGTATGTGCTTGTTGTTGTGGTATTTTAGGGTGTGAAAGTGTTGTTTGTTTTTTAATTTTTTTTAGTATTTTGAGTTATGTTTTTAAAAACATGCATAAATCTTTCAAGTGCTTGATGTTATGATAGAATTTTTGAAGATATTGTTGTATTGTTTTATTTTTTTTGGTTTTTTTGAAATATGAAATATTTTTTATTTGTAGTTTTATTCCTATGATTTTGACGGTTTACTTTATTTGTATGTACTATATAAATCTAATTCTCATAGAATCAGTGTAAGGAAATGTGTTAAATTATTAAAGAATGTGAACATAAGAATGTATATAGGAGTTATATAGATTAGAGTGTGACTGGTTAATCTGGGGATTGCTATTAAGTATCTGTATATGTTTTTATTACTGTGATTTTTGCTGATTTAGTTTATTTGTATTAACTATTTGGCTTTAATTCTCATAGAAACATTATACGTATTTGTGTTGCATTCTTACAGAATGAAAACATAAAAAGTATTGATAGTGGTTATAGATATTGAAGTATGGGTGGTTACTTTGAAAACTATTATAATTCACATAGAATCATTGTAAGGAAATGTGTTTACATTCTTAAAGAATTGTAACATAAGAAGTGTATATAGGGGTTATATAGATTGGAGTGTGACTGGTTAATCTGGGGATTGCTATTAAGTAACTGTATATATTTTATTACTGTGATTTTTGCTGATTTAGTTTATTTGTATTAACTATTTGGCTTTAATTCTCATAGAAACAAATTATGTATTTGTGTTGCATTCTTACAGAATGAAAACATAAAAAGTATTGATAGTGGTTATAGATATTGAAGTATGGCTGGTTACTTTGAAAACTATTATTAATCGACTTTAATCATTTGTTTCATTAGTTGTTGCAGAACCTGATCCAGAGCCAATTAATGTTGATACTACAAGCCAAACAAATGTGAGAATGACCTATCGTACCAGATCAACACCCGTGAAAGAGAATATCAGTACTCAACCTACAGGTAGATTTTTTTTTTTTGGTTCATGAAGAAAAATAACAATAATTTTAGAACATGTTGATAGCCAATATGTATCTTTTGTTACTTAATGAAGCAGAAGGTGTCGGAAGTGAACCAATTGATATGAATATTGTTGGATCAAGCAAAACAAAGAAACAGAGGAAAAAAACTTCAAGATCAGAACATGGAAAGAACAATGTAGATTCTGGGAAATCAGGTAAGATCATAAGTGCTTGTAATTAATGATTTTTACTATATAATTATGAGATAGCTAGTATCAAATTAAGTATTGTATTCTAGTTCTAGTACCATTTGTTTCTAGGTATACAATATAATTATGATATTGCTAGTATAAAATTTAGTATTATATTCAAGTTGTAGTAGACGATGAGTAATTATGTTTGTGTGATTCAACAAATGTTAACAAAGATAAAGAAGACACAATACCAAGTGACAGCACAAGTGTAGGAAGGATGAAAAGGAAAGGTTCTGCGAGAAATACACCTGTTAAGGATAATAAGAAATCGTCGGATGCAAGTGGTGAAAGGAAAAAACCAAGAAGTTTAAATGAGTTACTTACGGAGAGTATGAGTGGGTCAAAGAAAGACAATGAAAAGGAAAAAATTGGTGTGGATATGGAAGATAAGGAAAATGTTGTAAAAAGAAAAAAGGTAGTGAATGATGCACATTCAAAGAAATCTCCAAAGAGAAAGAAGGGGAAAAGTAGAACATGAAAATGTTAAAATCAAAACAATGGAGGGGAAGGTCAGAAAAGTAAGCAAGGACCATCCAGAAGGTTATAGAAGACTTGCAACTAGGATGACTCCTGGAAGGATTAGTGCAGCTGTGAAAGTAATGTAACCTGCACAGAAAAATGGGATTGTGTCTATGGGTTCTGGTTCACTTCTAAATATTGACATGGACACTACTCTGGGGTTACTTAAATACTATATGTTAGATCACTATGATCCAGATAGTAGCCGTCTAGTTTTGGAGAATATGGTCATAACAACTACGAAAGACACAGTGCATGACATGTTGGGTTTACCAAATGTAGGGGAAGACTTCTTGAGCATGATTAGTTGTGAGAAAGATAATGAATTTCTGCAAGAATGGAAAAGTCAAATATGATAAAAAAGGGTTTAATGGTGAAGAATACCTGAAAAGGATCAAAAACACAAAGCAAGACAGTCTTATGTTTAGGATGAATTTCCTGACCCTTTTCATTAACACATTTGTTTAATCAACTTTGAGTGGTACCAATCAAATAAATGTTGTGAATAAGTTGGTCTTGGTAAAAGACTTCTCTAAAATTGATTGGTGCAAG